CTGCTCTCACTGATACTTGCATCTGCCATTGTGTGTGTGTGTGCTGGTGGTGAGCGTTGCCCGTGTGTGTGTGTGTGTGTGTGTGTGTGTGTGTGTGTGTGTGTGTGTGTGTGTGTGTGTGTGTGTGTGTGTGTGTGTGTGTGTGTGTGTGTGTGTGTGTGTGGTCTAAGATTGGCAGAATGCTGACAAGAAGTCAGGATTTACTGCAGTGTTTGTTTTCTAAATGTACATCAACAAGCCTGGTGTGCAGCAACAGATGGTGGGGAAAGAGTTTTGAGTATGCAGATGCGTCCCCCCAATGCTCCAAGCATTACACGTCTTTAATGGGAGGTCTTTACTGCCTGGGTTTGGACATTTGAACGTCAACTTTAAGACACTTGCTGTGCTGCTGAAAAACAAGCCAAGGCTGCCCCCCCCCGTTGCTTCAGAGTACGAAGCGAGACTCGTGCTTAGGTAAAAGCTCGACCCATAATCCTGGCACCCAGCTGCAGAGAGTGGACTGCAGAGAGAGAGAGGGAGGGAGAGAGAAGAGAGGGAAAAGCAACAGCGGAGGGGAGATGACTGAGGTGTTTATGTTAGCGGGCCTTCGAGAGTATTCTTAGCTTGTTTGTGTATAATTGAAGTTGTGGTGTAGCGCCACACAAAACTAATAATTCTCCCTTTTATGATGTTGTTTTGACATTCCCAAAGCTCTGCTGCTGGCCTGACACAGACCTGACGTATGATTTACTGTGCTGCTGAGCACATGCTACATTACAGATCCTACTGTATGTGTTGTAATGTAGCAACAAATAAAACAAAATCCAAACTTGAAATATCTTATTTGAGCTGACATGTTAACTAAGACTACTGTCAACAACAAACCTGTATGAAATAATCAGAAGGTTCAATAGATAAGGACAGGTGTAAATGATTCCACACAATCCTTTTAGTCTGTAAGAGCTGTTAGCCCTTGGGCTAAAGGTTTATACAGTATATAACATTCACACCCAATCTCTGCCCTTTTTATGGGTATGTTACCTTTTTTTAAATGTATTTTGGGTCTGTTTTTGTGTTCTCAAAGGCACAAAAAACGTTATCAAAAATAATAAAAGCCTCTGGTCTAACATTTATTGAAGTTGTATTCTACTGAACAGCAGTTCAGTACATTAATGTAGATTACAGTACTATATTATTGTACTGTCTACATATTTTTTTGTTTTACAAGCTCAATACTGAACTGCAAGATGGTATTAAAAGGGTCTTTAACGTCAGTGTCTCCTGCCACCTGCTGGTGAGAAATGTGAAGTATTCCCACTCTAAGGTTTTCATTCTTAACCGCACTACTACTCACATGCCCATGTGTACATTGAAACATTACTGGCTCTGAAGCTTCCCAATTATTCACTGAGATGGGGGAGAACATTCACATTATCATTTGTTCAGGCGATGCTTCAATGAGGCTATTTTAAGACTGCGGGCCACATTAGTAAAACGATGCCAACAGGATGGTCTTTTTAGTACAAAATCCCTTAGTACAAAACATACTTGTGTAATGTATTCGACTTAAAAAACAGAAAGCCTTAAAACATACCATGCATGTATATTACTGACCCTTTTTATATTGTTGTACCTCACTTGCAGGTTTGAGTTGATGAGGATGTGCTGGCAGTATAACCCCAAGATGCGTCCGTCCTTCCTGGAAATCATCAACAGCATCAAAGAGGACCTGGAGCCTCCCTTCAGGGAAATGAGCTTCTTCTTCAGCGAGGAGAACAAGCCGCCGGACACCGAGGAGCTGGACATGGCGGTAGAAAACATGGAGAACATTCCACTGGACCCTGTTTCCACCAGGCAGCCCTGTGCTGCTGCCGCCCCCTCGTCGGGGGGGACGGGAGGGACGCCACCCCCCTCTACCCAGCAGTTATCCCCAATGCAAGGCCCAAGTACTCCGCTCCTGGGAGCCGTGTCTCCTTCCCCCCCGGGGCCAGGGGCCTCAGCCTTGGCGTCTCCAGGCCAGGCCTTGGACAAGCACTCAGGACTTGTATCGGCCAACGGACCCGTGGTGGTCCTTCGGCCTAACTTTGACGAGTTGCAACCCTATGCACACATGAATGGGGGCAGAAAGAACGAGCGGGCGTTACCACTGCCCCAGTCGTCGGCCTGCTGATATCAGACCAGCTCCCCCCCCCCCCCCCCCCCTCCCCCTCTTACACAGGGTAACACAAGCCTCTCATCCATTTCTCTAGGAGATATGGATGAGCTACTGTGTGCCAGTAGATGATCTCTCCAATCCTTTAAGGTCAAACATAAACCATAAAAACATTGAATGAGTACAGAAACCTGCAAAAGCATTTGGAGTTTGGTGTGTCAGACTCGACACTGGGGTACTCCTTCCTGTGCCGCCTGTATGTCGGTCCTTCAAGAAGGAACCACTGCAGGCATGTGTCCTGACAGATTTAGAGATGAACTTAAAGACAACCTTTTTTTAGCATATCTGCCAGCAAATCCAACAGAAGAGCACTTTTTTCCTGATGATTTCAGAGAGGATATTGTGGATATCAGAGAGTGTATTTATACAAAACACGCGTTTCTCTCTATTATATGGCAAAGCTCCATTTCTAAATGACTTTCCATCAAAATGACTTTTGTTTGCATGAGCAGACCGGCTCATGTGATGTGAGGATGCCTCAATTAGACAGTTTTGACTAAGATCATTGTTTCATTTTCTTATGATATGTCTATGATCCCATCAGAAGCGGGTCAAAATGGAAGAGGAGGGCCTGTTGTGTATCTTCCAAACTATTGCCAAATCAATTTTACTTCCTTTCTTCGGTTTCATATAGGTCTCCTTTCTGGTTTAAGGCTGTGATTCAGAGTTGAGATAATATTGTCTAGAAAAAACCCAACATTTGTTGGTGGTATTCAGACCTGATCTTTGAGACTAGCTGATCCTGGAGCAGCAGTCTGTGTGTCTTATCCCTGGACAGAGGACAGTGTTAGCCTTATGATACTTGGGAAACTTGGGAAAAAAACTGACATGTTGACAAGTGAATTGTTTACACATGGAGAGACCAGCATACAAGCAGGACTGTTGCATAGAGGATTAGAAATGCAAGCACAGTCTTTAAAGATATGTTTTTCTAATCAATTAAAGGTCCCCTATTATACTCTTTTTCCACAATATATTATGGGTCTCAGATATATATACAAAACATGTCTCTGAAGGGTTTGGCTCTAAATCCCTATGAGATCCTGCATTGTAGCATCCCATAATCCCCTCTGTTTCAAAAGTGCTGATTCTGTGTCTGTAGCTTTAAATGTGCATGAGCTGCTGCTGGCCACGCCCCTCTGACAGATGTTTGGTTTAAAAAACACAATGTTGCTCGAGGAGGAGATTCAGGCAATAAGGTGGCAGGTATTACCTTGGTTGGTTATTGCAAGCCCCCAGGAAGTGCGCCGGACTCTGATGAAAATATTCGTTGTGTCCAAACGGCGGTACTACAATTTCCGTATCAGTCCGTGACGTCACTGGGCCCAGAAAGACTTTTTCCCATTGCCTAACATTGGGAAAGAGACATCTGTAAATCAGCGGATAATTTTTTTTAAACTAAATAAACTACCCAGTATGAACTATTTTATATCCCTTAAAGTTGAAAAATGCACTAAAAGCCAAATCTAGATTTATTTTCTGTCTCCATTCATTCTACTGAGCTGAGAGTGGGAGCTTGGGGGTGGGGCTTAAGGGGTGCATGCTCTGTGAGCCGGTTCTTCTGCTCTGACAGCCAGGCATGATGGGTAATCTGTGACATTATGCTCTCTCAAAAGTTGGGCCATTTTGTCCTCATGTGCCAATGAGCAGCTCTCATAGGAAAGAACGAGACCCCGCTCCCACGCTGTATCCAGTTCTTATTATACATCCATGGGTTATTGGCCCAGAACCACAGTTGTGACATCATAAAGTGGCCAAAATCAGATCAGCTCTTTCTCAGACAGGTTTTTATATGGATCAGGACAAAAAGAGATAATCTTTGTTCCTGAAACCTTCTCTCTTAACACAGAGGGGACACATATTTATGTATAAAAGACATGGAAAAGTGGATTTCGCATTATAGGTGACCTTTAACATACCACATCAGTGAGACTGTTGTTTGGAGTTAATAATCATTATATTTTCATTGAGTTGAAACAATTAGTAAATTGACAGAAAATCTGCATCTTTGTCCTCCAGTTCCTTATGTGTGAGGACTGTTGTGTTATAATACAGCGAACTTGATATAATTGAGTATTTTACAAGCAATTGGCAAATGAATTGATATTAGCGCTAGCCATTTATTTTCATTTACCTATATTAAATGCCAGCATGCTGTTGCTAACCAAATTGCGCTGTTGCACCACTGTTGCACCGTTGTTGCAAGTTCATTCATATCTAACTAAACAGAAGGAAATCCCCCCTCTTCGTCACTTCTGAGGGGAAGAACACTTGACTCGAGTCAGCCAACTCTGAATTACAGCATTAATCTGCCTTTGTTTTAATTCCAATCTTAATCTGGACAAAGCATTATAACTCTCACTGCAAATCAATGAATTTCATAATCAAGGGATACAACTCTGCCTCCATTTTCATTTTTTCAAACGCATCTGACTTTGCATTTCACGCGGGAGGTCAACATCGCTCTCTGATACTGCGGTTCAATTAAATGGCACCAAATACACCAAAACAGACAGCGTGAAAGACCTGAGAAGGAACTTTAGTAGCCTAGAGACGACTTTTAAATCACAGCAGGTCTCTTTTAGAATAGTCATTAGTTTCTCTACATTTCAAACACATATAAAGGTCTTATGGTTGTATTTTAGACTGAAGGATCATTTTTATACACATCATTGGTTTTGTCACTTTTTTAAAACCTTTTTACGGTTCAAAATGTTTGCCTCTATGTCTGTACAGAACAAAGCTGCTATTTTATTCTTTTTCTCTTTTGGATGTGTGTGTATATATATATGTGTGTGTGTATATGTATATATATATATATATATATATATACATATACATATATAAGGAAATCCTTCAGGTTTGGTATTTTATGGTCTCCACTACAGTCCATTTCTTATATCTTCAAAGTCTGTTTAAAAAAAACTAGAAAATAACAAAAAATAAGATGATTTAGATATAAGAGCATTTGTTTTTCTGTTACCCCGAAAGGTTCTCTGTAACACTATATTTTGTTCATTGCCTTTTTATTTGTTATGAAATCTTTCCTCTTGTATTTTTTTTGTGGATGTCTATATTATTATTATTATTATTATTATTACTATTATTATTATTAATAATATTATTATTTGGAATGGACACCTTAGCTCGATGTGTGAGTGTGAACTTTCGGCACCCTTTATGTACTTGTTGTCTAGCAATGCCCTCTAGGTGCAACTCAATCTCAGGTCAAAGTAAAGGCTTTGCTTTCTCCACACACTCCATGATCGTCCTCTACTTGCTTCAGCTTTTACCTCCCCCTTTTCTCCTGCATCATGTTTTGTTGAGTCTGGTAGGGCCCTCCCCCCGACTGGCACCTCCCTGACCTCTACAACATACTGTACCTGTTTCTCTCCCGGTGCCTCCTGTTGAAGTCAGTGTACCAGATATTTACTTTACACCAGATCTGGTATTTTAACCCATCCATTTCTTGCCTCTTCTTAAATCAATAGGGCTAATTGGGTTGTCTTGTCATCATCTCTCAACCATTCAAAATCCGGTACTTTTTTATTTTTTGTATTACTTCAAGGGCAATTTAACGCCACTTCTGCTAATGTCTTCAAGGTGAGGTCATGTCTTTTTTTTGTTTGTCTTCGTAATCACTGCTTCTGAAAACCAAATAAAGGATGGGTTAAAGTCCAGGGAAGGGAACACATTTCAATGTCATGAATGGAAAAAGGTCTTAAAATAAGGCTAGATAGTAAAAGTGTTTTGAAGGATTTCTCCTAATCTTTTGGAAATGTTGCCTGGTGATGTTTTTTCCCTCTCGCTGAAGTTTTTTTCTTTTCTTTCTGTAGTAGTGTTATTTATTTATTTTTTATTCTCCTTTTGTGATATCAGTTTAAATCACTGTATACATGCCCCATGATTCAGTATAAAGTTGGACTTTTTTGTATGTATTTTCTTTGGTGTCATGACTGGGGGACTTTAAACGTTTTTTGTTTTTCTTTCCTTCAATTATATATCTACCTCACTCTTTTTAAATATGTGTATGGAAAACAAGTACATCTCACTCATTAGTTCGTATAGAAACTTACTTAAGATAAACCTCACAAAGCGGACTAGGACAAGAGCTGGAATATCTGTGTTGGAAGATCAGCCCACTGATTTCTGTCCCAATGTTGTTTTTAATATCTCTTAGAATACAAAGTGGAGGAGACAGAATCAGTTTAAACTAATGTTCGGTATCAAGGTGAGAAACATATCAAAATGTGAACCTTATAATTTAATTTGACTGGATAAAGTTTATAAAAGGCTTACAGGAGGGGCAGTATGATAAGACTAGAGACCAGGGCACAACTTCAACATCCGATATCCCAACTCCACTGACTCACAACATATTTTTATAACCTTAAATCCTCATAAGACAAATCAAAAATGCATTTATTTATATAATAGTCAGAACAGTTATCATGTGGAATATTTTAAAAGGGAAAACATGTTTTATTGACTTCCACGAAAAACACATTTGCTGTTTACCTGTAGCATGAAATGCTGCAAGGTTGCAGCACCTCCTAAACATCCAGAATACAATTTTAAAACGTATATTTGGTTATGTATATGCCGCAGTGCTCTGAATGTAACGAGGAATTTTCCTGTACGCAAAACCACCTTTGTAGAGATGGCAGCAACATACACGTTTGTTCCTTCATTTCTAAATCAATGTACATTTTCAATCATACCCCCCACCCCCCCCCGAACTCTGTGTTTACTAACACCATCACTTCCCCTGTCCAACTACGTCTGCTCTGGAGATAGATCATTTCTACGTCTTCTGTTTTTTCTATCGTTAGGAAGTAAACTCAACACGCCTTTTCAGAACTATTTGTAGTGCTACTAACACTAATGCTGCTGTTTAAAACTACTCAGTGGATCTTATATTGTCATCAAAAATGTTGAGTGTGATGGTGGCAAAGAAGCTTTTACATCTCAAAACTTCTCATTAAAACCTCAGCTCTACTTCCTCTCACATGGAGAATGGTGTCTCAGTGCAAGGGCTTCTGGGCTTGAGACAATTGAAGATTCAGGCTGAAAATATGACCCAAAAGCAATACAATTGATTGTTCTTCTAAGTTGTTATTGAGCACTATATCTGTGCATGATTTAAGTGAATCAAGAAGTGAACCATATTTCTAATTGCTGCTGAATATCACTTTGGTACTGATATCACCACTTACAAGCAGACAGCTTGTGTAGTTACTTAACATATCTGTGCATTTATGTTCTTTCCATTCAGATTTATGTAATGATAAAATACAAACAATTCAGTTCTGGGAGTAGGCATTACATTGACCTGGCGTGTGATGAATTACTGTTAAATAAATAGTTACGATTAGATCATAAATACAGCATTTAAATATACAAGTGGACGTGTAAAGAACAGGAAGTTTTTGTAGATTACGGGTAGTAATGGTACAGAGTAAACAATAGGATTAGGAAGATAGGATAGGCCTTAGTTTACAGCTTCACACTAGCTGCTTTTTTGCATTACCAGATGTATGTAAACATACAGAAGCTTAAAAAAAACATTAATACACTTTAACTTTCATTCTCCTGAATGTTCTTCATGTAAACCTGAGGTTTATGAAGGATGCATCGGTGCATTCAAACTGCAATAATAAGTTTGAGGTTTATCATTATCATGCCTCTGTTTTTATGATTTGCATTCCTATACCTTCTGAGGGGGCCTTGGTTTAATGCTCTTATTTTATTACAATACTTTCACTAAATCTTTGTTCATTACCTGATTGGGGAAAAAAATAATCAAAAACCGTCACCAGACTGTCTTTTTTCAAGCTCTGTATCTGAGGCCTCAAGGTTTTTTCACACCTATAACTGAGATGGGGTATTTTTGACATGCCATCTCCAAATGTGTATCTGAGAATTTCTTGTATTTTCTTTTTTTTCCTGAAATTTTGAATAAATAAATGAATGAGAACTTTTACTGTTTTTTCTATTTAATTCATCCATGGCCTCATTTTCTCAACAACATGGTTCGCAATACAGTGTCTGTTTGGTGTGCAATGTCTTTATGACAAGATCAACATGTTGTTAACACCTGCTTAATGAAGTCTGCATTC